TTGACTGTGCCGCCTGCAGTGTAGACGATGCTTCCTAGGTAGGTAGGTAGGCGGAAGAAACAACTTCTTTTAGATTTCTTCCGTTGATGGTGATTGGTGCTTGTTGTTGGCTGGTTGGTTGGGTATCTTCATCATCCGCGTCTTCTCTACATTCACCTGAAGGAAGTCCCATCTTCGCTACATTGGCTCGCCTCTTCTGCCAACTTGTTAGTTTTCGCCTATAGATCTTCGAGTTTGTGCGATATAAGACATGAGTCATGATCGGCGAAATGCAGAGTGTGTAGGGTCTTTTCATCGCTCGGCTGCGGAACCAGAAGGTCGTGGGTGCGCACTACTGAGGAGTCCCATTCTAGTTGAACGAAACAGCTGTGCAGTTCTCCCAGGTTTCCTTTGTCTACGATGAATAACAACTTGTTATATTACATTTGTTTATTTGATCTATAACACACAATGCGATACAGTATTATTAACTTGATGACGTCTCGAGGATAAACTATCACTGTTTATAATCATATCAATATGATATTACTATGAGCAGGGATAATTTATGCTCGAAAAGTCATCAAGTAAATAAGTAATGTTGTATTGCACTGTGTGTTGTTATAAATCAAATAAACAAATCTCATATGGAATTTTATAATTCTGCCTATCAGTTAAAATCGATTTGATTATACTGGTGATATGCTTGTGGACAAAAAGAAGATGAAAATAGACATTCAGTGTCTACATAATAATAGCAGTAGTAGTAAAGATAATAGCTTTATTCCAAACAATATGTTCGACACGACATAGAACTCTCAGCATATATTATCTTAAGAAATTTACTCTCTGTGAAGTACTTTTTAACTAAATAATTATAACATGTTAATAATGTTTCGTAATAATATTATTAAAGACTATAATGTGAAAGAGTTAGCTGTCATTGGATTACCATTTAGTCAGGAGTGGGAGATAAATAGAAAGGCTCACTCATAAAAGTATGTTTTGTGGTGATGTACTTAGTCAGTTAAAAAATCTTTGATTCCATCTGTCTTAAGAATAGTAATACAATGTGCATGATAAGAAGGAGAGATACCTGCCGACTGGAAGAAGGCCTACCTTTCAAACTCAAGTCAAACCTTGTCTACCTAACTGACATCTCTTTTGATGTTATATTGATCAAGAAAACAGTATCTCATGAAAAAGTACTATCTCTTCAGTTGTATCATAGAGTATTATTGTATACCATTTTAGCAGTTTTCGCTATGCACCATCATAGAACAGAGCATAGAATGGCAACTCTTTACCTCAGATTCATCGATTTCGGAAAGGCCTTCAACAGCATCGAACAAGAAGTATTTTGGCAGGCAGCTGTTTCAATACTACGCTTTTAGTGCCACAAACCTTTATTAACCTCATTCAACAACACCTATATGCTATATGATGCCACATACCAAATGATTCACAATACAAAACTCAGTGATGCGTTAGACGTGAAGACAAAAGTAGGACAAGGTTACCACATATTATCACCGATCATCTTCCTGATTATGGTTTACTGGATCATGTAAGAAGATGAGCATATGCTGTTTAATCGATGAAAAGACCCTACACACTCTGCATTTCGCCGATCATGACTCATGTCTAATGTCTTATATCGCACAAACTCGAAGATCTATAGGCGAAAACTAACAAGTTGGCAGAAGAGGCGAGCCAATGTAGCGAAGATGGGACTTCCTTCAGGTGAATGTAGAGAAGACGCGGATGATGAAGATACCCAACCAACCAGCCAACAACAAGCACCAATCACCATCAACGGAAGAAATCTAAAAGAAGTTGTTTCTTCCGCCTACCTACCTACCTAGGAAGCATCGTCTACACTGCAGGCGGCACAGTCAAAGATGAGGATGTCAAAGCAGCCGGGATCGGAAAGACAGCGAGACACGCCTTCCTTCATTAGTCTGAAATAATCAGTGTGGAGATCTATTGAACGTCACTATACTGTACTCAGCATAGAGCGTGAACAAGATCCGGATTTCCAACACTAATTCAGTCAAGTAAGTCAGTGCTTCTATGTGATGGTTGAGAGACTCGATGCATTACGAGAAGCAATTCCAACATCGACATCTGCCGCCTATGCTCACTCGATACTGAAGATCAGATCAGGTGTTCAGAAAGAATAAGCAAGAAGGAAGTCACTGTGGTTGGCAATGGAGAACCTGTCACCTAACAAATCTGCAGGGCAGGAAAGTGGAGATGGATTGAATTATACATACACTGCTAACCTAATTTAGCCTTTTTGAGAATCGTATGTAAAGTTTTCGGTGTGCTTTCCGTATAGGGTAACAATGGATTGTGCCTGCTACTGAGTTTATATGTTTGAGGAAATTGTCGATATATGCCGATTTCAACACAGTAGTAAGTTTGTAATCCACATATCGCCACCCTATTTTTAGTGCACGACTAAACTTTTGTAAATCCGTTTTTTCTCAATTATTCATAAATATATCCAATTCACTTATGACGTAGAATATGAACACAAAGAATTGCCTATGTTGGATTACAGGATGAAACGAAGGACTGACGGTAATTTGGATAGTACCGTCTACAGAAAACCTATACATTCCAACAGGTATCTAAACTCTAAGTCATACCATCCGATGTCAGTTAAGACAGGCTTTATCAATTGTCTAAGTGATAGAGCTAGAAAACTGACTAGTCATTCCTCAGTCTATTCAGAAATACATAGGGAACATACAAGAACTGAAAAAATAACAGTCACATGAGTGCGGCTAATAACGACAACACGAGTAAAAAGGAGTTCACAGCCTCTATATTGTTACCTTATAAAGAAGGCAGGCCAGAAACTTAACGTAGGATCTTCAACAACTCTGGAATTAGGGTAGCATTCAAACCTACAAACTCACTCAGAGATAAACTTTGTCGTCTGGCTTAAGGATCCAATAGAACCAATTAAGCAAAATAATCTAATCTATCAAAATCCCTGTAATGACTGTGAGTCAGGTCAAGTGCATTGGTGAAATTAGCCGGTCGAGGTCAGTTAGAATAGCGGAACATAGGAATTTAGCTGAATATAGAATGACAGACTCGAATAAGCTCAATAATCTAGAAAACCACTCGGCTATTACAATGCACGGATTAACACACAACTACAGAATAGAGTGGGATAAAACCACTTTACTTAAGTCCAATATATTTAGGTAGAGAGAGGCACAGATTGATTACTGAATCTTTGTTTATCGAATCAACCAACACTCAACACTTGTAATGGAAATGACCCAACACCTGTACGACATATGGAAAGTTTTACTGTCAATAAAAACATGGAATATCAGGAGGGTGACAGGACTATAAGAATCCAATGTCGAAGGTGGTATCATTACGTACTGATTTAGTTTTGAGTGAGAGAGGATTGACACTCGAGACGTCATCAAGTAAATAAGACTAGAATGCTCATTGTGTGTTATAAATCAAATAAACAAATCGAATATATAATTATACTTTTCATCAACCTTGCATTTATAGTTTTCTGTTGAAAATAAAAAGCAATAATCATTATTTTACCTCAACAGACGTAAATACATTTGAATTCAACCCTTTGAAGTGATGAGTTCTGGAATGGGACGAAACTCATTGGCATATCATTATTATGTATGGATTTCTTCATTAGTTCTTGATGCATATTCTAAACCAAAAATTGTCTCCAAAAGAGTTTTTTTTAAGCAGTAGCTGAAAATTTAATTTGTTTGACAGTTTATGTCATTACTGAGTAATTATAGCGCATATTCTACTGTTTTCTTTTTGGTTGATTGATTGCTATCATCAGCCGTATATTCCCAAAGCTGATTTCAATACATTCCTTCTTATCATTTACTAATAAGCATGGTTTATGCATACACCACTTCTGATAAGTGTTAGGTCCTCATTACTATCATTTATTATTTGACCCTTGGGTTCCTTGTGGAATATAGGGCTTCAGTAGCATGTCTCCACTCCACTCTCTTCTCTGCAATCTTTTCAACCTGGCTCCACGACAGCCCACAAGCTCTCATTTCTTCTTCACACTATCTCCTTCATGTCATTCTCGGACGCTCAATTCATCGTTTCCCATCTGGGTTCCACTCGAGCCACTGGCCTAGCACGCGATGTCTTCAGTCGGCTTTCTCAGTGTATGCCCAATCCATCTCCACTTCCTTCAAGTGGACATTTGTTGAGCGATAGGTTCTAGCTTCGTTGTTTCGTTGCCAGCCAGCCACATTTTCTTGTTGCTTATTCTCGTTATTCTGGCCATCTGAGCTTCAGTAACGAGCCAGTGTAGATGGCAGTTATTGATGAATATCTGTAGTTTGTTGAAAATCCCTTTCGTAACGCGTCAAGTCTCTGAACCATCACATAGAAGCAGTGAATTAACTGACATTAATGTTGAAAATCCGGATCTCCACACTTGTTTCAGGTTAATGAACACTTGTCTTGCTGTCTTTACGATCTTGGCTGCTTTAAAATCGTCGTCTGTGCTTGTGCTACCGCCTGTAGTTGAAACGATGCTGTCTATAATATCCTATAGAATAATCGATTTCCTATCATTTTGAAATAATAGGCTAAAAGTTAAATGGTAAATGAAGAGTACATGATCAGTTAAGCCTACTGATAATCCCTTGAATTGGCTACCAGTTATTTTCAAGTCTATAAAAGATTATCATTGAAGAATGAATAAAAATATATATTCAAACTAATAAAATGAATAAATTAACAATAGATAAATTTCATATTAAAGAAATTCAAGCATATTATGATAATAAAACATGTACAGAAGTTGAAGAAACTGATTCTATGCTACATTATAAAACTCAAATATTCTATTGTAAAGTTATCATTGAAATACCTACATGTATATCAGATTATAATTGGACTATTGGTCTTATTCAAGCTTGTGATTATATGTATTTATCTAATAATTATAATGGAATAGGTAGTTCATTATGGGAATTTCATCCATTAAAATGTGGTCTAAGAAATTGATTAATGATAGTGATGGACGACAATATCCATTTTATAATATTAACCATAGTTTATATAATATTAATAAAGGATTAGTTAAAAAATTAACACTTAATTTATATATTAAAGATTATTTTCATCCTTCAGTTGTCTGGAAATTACCTTTCTCTAATGATATACATTTAACAGAGATAAATAGAAAACAAAAATTTTTTATATGGTTAATTATTATTAAATATGATAAAAAATATTCATATAAAGATGAAATAACTGTACTTAAAAAGATAAGATGGGAGTATAATTTATATATGAAAATTGATTCATATATGCCATTAGGTAATCGTATACGTGAAATTTATGATATACAAAATAATCAAATAATTATTATGAATCCAGAGAAATTGTATAAATTACCAATTGTAGCAACATTTCCACCACATTGTAATGCTCTACAATCATTAATATGGTATCCTAAAGATGTACATAAATCACCTCGTATACTTGTTCCACCGAAACAAATTATTGTTTCATGGGATGAATGGGTATATGATATGCTTGGATCAAATATTAGAATTTGTAAACCTAATGAAGTTTCAGTAATTGAATAGAATATAATATAAGCTTAACATTATAAAAGTATTTATTTATAAGTAAATCATAAAGTGATCAATATATTATGATCAAATTATATACATCAGTAGTATTACTACTATTATTATCACTATTAAAGAGTAAACTAAAGAGTAATAATAATAATAGTAATGGAGTATTTGTATAAAGCAGCTGACTAATATGCAATTTCATTTAATATCATCATACTGAAAGGGATACAGAGAGAAAGAGATCTTCCTATGAACAAGGTAATGCAGAATTAATGAGAGAGAGAGAAAAACCTCAACAATAACAACTTTCTATTACTGTAATCATTTTTGAAATACTTTAATGATAAAATCTTTGACTATATATTAGATGTCTAATCTATTCAAGTGATCATCATCTTGATTGTTGACATTTACATAGCCGACAAGTATGAATAACATGAGTATATATAATAATAATAACCAGATTACTCTCTCCTATTCTGTCAGTCTAATTTCATTCCAACGGTTTATGTGAACTTCACAAAAGTGTTACTGTTACAGATGTAAAAACAATCGCTCAATCTTAAAATAAAATGAAACAGACATCTTTAATTTCTTTAGTGCAAAAAATGTATAATACCCTATCATTTACTAATCATAGGGTAGTGCAATGTATAGGTTAGAATCTTAGGAGGGGATGTCAGTTCTATCAAGATTGCAGATAAGTCATACTGATGAATTTCATGACATCCTGCTGATTATCCTTAATCTGTACAGTGATGGTGAGCCTCGTAACTTTACAATCATATTGCAAAAATGATGTTTAGAATTTAATCAACACTCAGGACTGTTGAATGAACAATCAATGTAGATAAGTGATTATAGCAGCTGTGAAACACAGTTACCACTATAACTAAGTATTATTCATACAAAATATGTTATATGTGTTATGAAGAAAGTTGTAAATAGGTAAAACAATTGTCTAAAGCAAAGTTTAGTGTTTATGACAGTCTTTAGATTCATGTGAGAAAAATAACAGTGTGTTAATTCATTAAAAGTGATTTGACATATAAAATAAAGAATAACTCATTCTTGGTGAAATGTATTGACATCGGTTTACACTGTGGTGCATCGTAAAACCAGGAAGTGAAGATTTAACAAGATACTAGTACATCAAAGATAACACTGCTATGATAGTAACAAGCAATTAGACTCTTAACCAGGATATCTAAGCCAGACAGTGGAGTGAAAGGTAAAAGTATCTCTCTTTAAGAAGTCAGTCTATTGCTATATAACATGGGATTTTTAAAGATTGTCTGTCAGCGTACTGAGTATGCAAAAAGGGCTGTCTACTTATTCATCCACAAGAACTGATACCATCTTTTGATATATTTCTGTCTTGTTTATTTCTTCAACTTCATCAATTTTCAGTCTTGCATGAACGTAGGCATTCGCTGTTCATCGGCAAACTGTATCTTAGTTAATGTAAGCATCACAAATCTATACATTTAATGGAAGACTTGTGGAGAACAAGTAGTACGATTTTTCACCAATTTCTACCTGATCTCTCTTCCATAAGATTCATAATGAAATTTTTTACATCACTTTCGATGAATTCAAGTGAACATAGAGAAGACACAGGCGATGAAGATACCCAATCAACAACAAACACCAATCAACATCAACATGAGAAAACCTAAAGAAAATTGTTTCCTTCATATACTTAAGTACCTACCTACCTACCTAGGCAGCATCCTTTCAACTACACAAGGCACAGGCACACATGACAATGTCAAAACATCCACGATCGGAAAACCAAGACAGACATTCATTTACCTGAAACCAATGTGCAGATCTACTATTCTCCACTCAGCATAAAGAAGGACATCCGCATTTTCAACACTAATTCAGTCAAGTCAGTCAGTGCCTCTGTGTGATGGTTGAGAGACTTGATGCATCACGAAAATAATTTCCAACAAACTACAGACATTCATCAACAGCTGTCTGCCTACGCTCACCCGATGCTGAAGATCAGATCAGATGGTGAGGAGGAATAAGCGAGGAGGAACTCTGGCCTTGCAATGAATCAATCAACCAAGAAGCTGGTGGAGATGGATTTGATTGGGCATACACTGAGAAGACCATGTGGTGGTGGTGTGGGGGGGGGGCATCATGCTCCAGGTCGTGGAGTGGAATCCAAATGTGAAACGATGGGTTGGTCGTCCTAGGGTGACATGTAGGAGATGGATGGTGTGAGGAAGAAATGAGAGGTTGTGTGCAGTCGTGAAGGCAGATTCAAAAGACTGTAGAGGAGAGAGTGCAATGTAGATGTGTAGCTGGAGCCCTATGTTCTACTAGGAACCCAAGGGACAAATAGTAACAATAAACTGTAGTTAGTTACCTAGAACCTACAACTTTTTCCCGTGATACCAATTATTTGCTGCACCATAATGCGAATAGGCACTTTTGAACCCTGACATCCGGAAAAAAAATCATATATCCTACCTAAGCATAAATCCCGTTCAGAAACATTAGTTAGTAACCATAGTCAAATGAATATTATACCTTTAGTTTACTATGGAGCACATATTAATGCTAATCTGTAACCGAGTCCAAACTTCTTATTTTCGGTTTTTTAGACATCAGGAGACAAAAAAGACTAAAATAAAAGTGTAGAATTGGTAAATTCCACAAAATAATCATAAGCAGTGTTGTTTTTTTTTCGGTAAATTTAACAAATGTTTCTATGAGCATAATGCAAAACACTTCGATGAGCTTTAAACTTTGACTCTTCGTTCAAGGTCATTGGGCTGACACTCAAGGACTGCAGAATACCTTTACTTTTTGGTTTTACCTTAACTGTAAATAATTTTAAGTTACACAAGAAATGTGTAAAGTGATAAACAGTGTAAGTAATGGCTCAAGTATCGATATTCAGGATATTTCTTTGTGAAAAAAACATCACTAAATGAAGTCTCAGAAGTAACTATATTTGAGAAGTAAAAGAAAGCCTAACTTTCACCTGGTACTCACTATATAAGGTTAATTAAGTAACAATAAGTTCAATTAAGCATAAGAGTTAGAAGAAACTGTATACATTCTTATAGCCAGCCACAGTTCAGATTCAGTACAGGTCTAAAGTTCACACACATTGAAAAGAGAAATCCACATATAATCTGGCGCAGAATCGACAGCAGTTCATAACCTTATCAGTTGATTTGCCTGTCTTGTCTAGTACCCTCCTCTGGCCCCAACATTCTTCACACAATGATACCGGTAAATGTGAGCAATGACACGAAGACGCATAATTGAAAAAAAAAACCCTACTACTGATTCATGTCTTCTACTTTCAGCAGTCACATCTCACCGCCATATCACAGGACAAAACAGCTTGCAATGCAGTATACTTGTTGCTTGATAGATAGTTGGATATTTGTCCAGTCGGCGCCACAGGGGTTGAGGACTCTTGGCCACATGCCTGGAATAGGGTCACAGTGCACAGATGCATTCATTCCTTGACGTCTTCTAAAGTTCAAATGTATTCATTAACCGTTATCTTCAAGTTTTTTATTCACTCAAACAAATTTGCCTGCTTTATGTCAGTCTTTTTCTATCCATCTGTTCTTTGTATGCTACTCTGAAGTGTTGTGATTTGACCCGATGCACTTGTATTCGAGATTCTATATTGATTTCCTCTCTCTCTCTCACTCTCTCTCTCGCTGGCCAGCAACCAATGTAGCTCTCTATTCGTTTGTGTTGAGAACGAACCAAATTTCATTGATCAACTTCTCCAATTTGGCGATTAAGCTGAATGTGGTGACGCTGTGAAGCACTCCATTTGGTGTAAGCTGCTGGTACTCAAAGAGTAGTTCGTTTTCAGTGCAGTATTATTATAATTTTTTGGGATGGAAATGTTTTCAGGAGTCCAGTATGATAAAAAAAAAAGCAGTACAATTAGCTCATATTTGTTGATGACCAGGAAAAAACTAACTAAATCCTAGTAGTTATCTATCTAATGGAGAATATTTGTAGCTCAGGTGGATGGTCTTGGTTGTATTATGTTCTCTGATCTGGGTTGTTTAATCACGAAGCTTTCATCGCCTTGTTAGACGACATCATCATCATCAATGACACAAGAATCGAAGAAAAACAACCAATCACAGACCACATCGTTAGAGCAAGCTAATAAATCACTCACGGAGAGATATTAACAGCTTACTTCATACTGAAGTTAGTGCTGATTATGTCTTCTAGCAGGGCGATGAAGGCTTCACAATGAAACAGCCCAGCTCACAGAATATAAAACAACCAAGTTATCTATCTGTTCGATCTCTAGATTGGTGTTCTTCAATATATCATTATATTTAGATCACGAGCTTATAGGAAAACTACTCAAGTAACATAGAAGTACATATGATTCATTTATCAGTTAAAGCCTAGATAACCCAATAAAATAATTGATGTTTCGAAATTCTATTTTCCTCCTATCAAGTAATACTCTCGTTTTTCTGTTAAGAGAAGTTTTATTTCACATATCATTGTATATCGTTTTATATTAGTTATTGTGTAACTGATTTCAGCCAAGAGATAACAGAAACTGGAAATGATTCTTGTTCTGAATTGTAAAAGTAAGTTAGATCTGCTCGTACTACAAAATGAAATAAAATTGAAAAACTTCTAATTAGTAATCCAGTAGTCAGTTTACGTCAATACGTAGTTTGACAGCTGTTCTACATGTATGTTTCGCCTAAATTGGTGTGGCTTTGAAGAAATAGCCTTGTACCCACTTAGTAATAACTTATGTCAGTTATTATTATTATTCGTCCCTTGGGTTCCTAGTAGAACATAGAGCTCCAGCTACACATCTACATTGCACTCTCTCCTCTACAGTCTTTTGAACCTGCCTTCATGACTGCATACAACCTCTCATTTCTTCCTCACACCATCCATCTCCTACATGTCACCCTAGGACGACCAACCCATCGTTTCACATTTGGATTCCACTCCACGACCTGGAGCATGATGCC